AGCAATGTTTTTCAAGGTAATCTGCCTAATTAACATTGCGCAAATACCTGTTGCTCCGTAATTATTTAAAACTCCGGTAACCATGGAATTATACATACTGACAATAAGATAGACAAGGACAAACGGTAAATTCAACAAAATTTGTTGACAAAATGTCAACCTGTCCTCATAACCTCGAATATGGGTGTTTACAAATAAACCCTACAACACCAAACATTTGAATGGTTAACTCCAAACAAGCTAGTGCCTATGCAATCTCTAATATTTTTCTGGTACTCCCCAAGGGAGCCTCTATCACCCCTTAAAAGGAATTGACGCCAATTTTGAATCACCCTGTATATCAGTTGTAGATTAAGTATATCTCTATATAAAACTCGAGATAAAATCTTAATAAATTGCATAGTTTGCCGGCTATTACAGCATGAATTTTACCGAAAAAAAACAACAAATTCAAAGTATAGAAGCACACATGCTGTGTGGGAAGTGAATGTTACAAACAGTGGATGTTGTGTGCTTACCTCTCCTAAACTATCGTCAATTTCTGGTTTCTTTATTTTCTGCTCGAGCAGCTTAATAAGTTTTCCTTTAGGTGAACGGTGGTCCAACCCGGCCATTTCGTCCCCTTCATCCATGTTTTTCAGGATTAGTCCTTTTTAGGATCAAAACAAACACTGAAAATCCCAACACAAGCCTCGTATACTTCTAAGGTTTGAACAGTTGTTTTTACCAACAAACCCGCACCATTTGGTATGACAGTATCATTATTATGTTAAATGATCTTTTAGGAGAGTTTTGTGTTATATTACGATAAAAATTTGCATTATTTTCAATAAATAACAGGGAATTAGATATTTTCCATACATATTAAAACAACGCGTATCGTGCTATCGTTCCAGACTGTCAATTATCTGTCAATGTGTAAACAATGTCAACTGAACGCGTCCTTTGCTTGATAGGAATGAGACAAATTTCAATCGACACTCAACTTTTGGTAGTTTATATATCATGATATGATATTTAAGCTGCGGTTTAACCACAAAATGAAATCTGATTGTTTATAAACCGGCTGCAGAAGCAAATTATGCAAAATTAAAAAAAAAACGTGCAAAAATATAAGTAACCAATCCCAATGCTCCATGGCCGGACAACTTTTCAACCGATCGCTTCCGAATTCGGAATACCCTGTATATGATGCACCCGCCCATCACTGAAGTGAAACAAACTGGTCGTGATTTGGCACATTCCTAGCAAATCCACATTTGTTTGTACTTCTTTGCAGTGAATCCCACTACACGTATGGCGGACGGCCGTGGAAGCGCGTTAAACAAAGACGGAGAAGCCGTAGAGTAGTTTTTGCAAGCCGCTCTACAATGGCGGGAAATTTCAACAAGTTGTAGCCAAAACTATTGAAAACATCTGAAGGCGACCTATTGTCGAATACTTTTTCTATTAGATTATCAATATTTAGGAATAACAAATAACGCATAAGTATAAATATTAGAGACAATATAAGGTCTATAATGACATTCAAGTTGATTTTACACATGGGTTTGAGTCAATCGCGCAGGCTCCGGTAAAAGATAATCGATTCCCGGAGCAGGGAATAAACAGACTGAAACAGAAAACCGTCAGAAAGAAGCTCAGAAATTAGTGTTGTCAGGCGTCAGTTGGAATTGTGCGCGATTTCTGAGTTTGTTTGATTATTCAGATAGGGATTGATGTGATTGATTGCAAGCCAAGAAAACCGAATTAATTTTGTGCCAAAGAAACATAAAAATGGGTTGCTACTCCTGCATGAGATTGCTGTATGTTGTCCTCAACAGCATATTTTTTGTAAGTATCCTGTTATTTAGGGCACTAGAGGCCATTTTGGGTGCCTTTTAGCAAAATAGGTCGATAAATTGTTTTCTAAAGCGTCACAATCATTCACAATACAAAATATGGAGCATTTATAACTGCAACTTGAGGAGGTTATTGTATTTTTAATATTGTGACTTTATTGTGCAAATATGCATTGCTACATGAGGTAAATCCTCCTTGATTACCGGGTATCTACAATCTAATTCCCACACATTTTTCTGGTCGTTTGGGTATTAATAGACGTGTGTTTACATATAACAATGTCACTAAAGAAATGATCTATCTCAATGCTATTCAGCTACATACCTGCATTCAATTTAGGTACCTGCTTAATGTTCTGCAAAAACTTGAATCACTCACTATTTATAAATAGTAAAATGAAGTAATATCCTGTCGCCCATATAAAAATAATCAGTTTCTGGTGTCTGTTTTGGAATCATTTTTAAACCACATCATACAGCGAGACCACATGCTTTATAGTCCAGACGATTCAGAGCAAAGTCGTGGATTTGCATTTAACATCTTGAATAAAATTATTTCATACAAAACATTCGTTTATGTTTTTGTAAATGAGCCACACGATACAGGGTGTCCCACCGGGAACCACCGCTATCTAGGTATATCTGGCAAAGGACTTATTTTAACAGAATTTCGTTAACATTTTGATAACTATTAATACAAAGTGATAAATAAATTTAGTTTCAAGATGAAATTGAGAAACTCGCCCATAAAATTATTTTCGAATGAAAACCGCCTATTTTATTAATTTTGCATCAGGTTATCTATTCCAAAAGTGTTTATTTTTTGCAATATTGTCAATTTAAATTTAATGTTTTCATATGGCTATTTTGCTGTGGATTTTAAATGGTTGCTGAACCTCCACTAGGTTAAAAGATTAATTAATTTCAATTAAGTGGCACGTAAGAGTGAGTGACATTTAAAATCCACAGCAAAAAGCCATATGAAAATATTGAATTGATAATATACAGGGTGTCCCGTAAGCTCATGATCAAAAGATGCGATATTCTTTGGACCAAAAGAAGACGATCTGACCTAACTTTTATTAACAAAAAATGTCTGGCACTTCTGGTATTGATGGTCAAAGTTCTTCAAAAAATGTATCTTTTTTGAAATATCGGGAGAATGGTACGATGTATTTTAGTGAAACTCGCTGTGAATTTGTTCTTATGTAAGACTCATATTTTGATGGAACAATCGAGTTCAGCCGTTTTGGACAAGTGGTGAATTCTTAAGTGTCGTGGTACAAAAACTACCAGAACTTTTTAGTTGGAGGATGAAATGAACTAATTGTTATTAGGTTGATGCACTAACCATTTGTTCACCATGTTGTGCTCTTTGTAAAATCTTGTAGCATTCATAGATTTTGCGTAAAAAAAAATATGTCTGTTTTCTAGTCACTTAGCAATGTACTGCAAATATGCGCCTCCAAATTCAAGATTTAATGAAACATATACAAGAAAATATCAGAACAGCAGTAGTTTTTTCTGTCAACGTTTGAGCTTGGGTAAGTGGTCGTGGACCAGGAGTTTGTTGGAATATTGACTGCAGGTTGAACAGTGAATCTTATAAAGTTAGAAAACTTTTTCCTTCCATCAGCAAATTTTATTTTCCAACAAGACAAAGCCCTGTTCATAGATCCAGAATAGTGGAAAATTGGTTGTTTGAAAATGAAGTTAACTGTTTACCCTGGTGCTCGGGGAGCCCTGATTTAAATCCAACAGAGAATGTGTTGTGGTACATAAGAAGATGTATAGAGACAAAGTTGGGCCGCAAAACCGCGCCGATCTATGGGAAAAATTGAATAGACCTGGGTTCAGCTAACACCAGAATACTCGAGCAGCTATTAATTCGTTCAATGCCCACACTTCTGAATTTAGTTTTACATGGTAACGGAGCAGCAATAAAATATTAGTTTTTAATATATTTTTTTCAAATATTGTATATAAAAATATTTCTATTGCTCTCAATATTATTTATGTTAATCAATTAATTTATTCTTATTTTTATTAGTGTTTCTAATAGAATTAAGCTTCGAAATTAAATTATTTGGTTTTAACAGTTTTTAATTATTAAGAAATGTTGTTAGTAAAGGGATTATCTATAGCGTGAGCATACGTTTAGTTTTGAACGTGACGACCTGATAAACTAGAAAATGACTAAATGTAGATAAACTTCATAAAAAAACACACGTTTTCGACATTCGATAGGTAATTCATTGGATACACATTAAATGCTTGCATACAACAGTGGAAACCAAGAGTCTCATACCAAGAATAAACTGTTTATGCGAGTGTAAACAAGTAATCTTGGCCTGGGACTGGAAAGCAAATTAATTTTTCTTTCAGTGCGAGTGTGTATTGAAGATTTATTTACCACGTACCCTACATCGATATCTTAAAATAAAAAGGCTCTGCGCTTATTATTATTATATTTACCCGCGGCTATTTTATTTTCAAATGCGCTTTCCTTATAAGCGCAATATGTATTGTATATGTATAATTGTAATTTAAACTAACTTTTTTAAGCGATGCAATATATGCTTCTCCGCTTTAAGGATATATTGTAAAGTTTCAATAAAATTGTATTTCGTGTTGAATCGACGAGCCAACTAATGCTTACATTTATTTCCATTTTAGGTAATTGGTATTGTGAGCTTGGGCTTAGTAACATGGGTGCTTGTGGATCAAACAATTCCACTTAATTTCGCTCAAGAACCGGACGATAATATGATCGTCAGTATAATTTACTTAGTAATGACTTTAGTGTTGGTATTGCTCTCTATATTGGGAATGTATGGCGCTGGTAAAGAGGTCAAGTGGGCTCTTGCTGTGGTAAGTTCCAATCAACATGTATTTTTGTCATAATTATCTTAATTAAAAATCAAATCCAAATTGTCTCAAATATTACTTTGAGCTAGTTGGACTCGGTACTAAACATGTGTTTGGCAAAGAACTTAATTTTAGGGGCATTTTTTGCTCAACATTGTAAATATTACAATTTTGAACACTCTGTATAATAACATTCTAATCTGCTATCACGGAATGCTTCTAGAATTTAATTTTCTAACGACTTTCAGCTTACATCAAGCTCTAGTTGACTGACTTTATGTCTATTTTTTTCAGTCATTCTCCCTATTGCTGATCGTTATAGTTGTTGAAGTCACTTCAGGAGTATGGATTTGGATGAATAGAGACACTCTGGATGAGTTCACTCATTTGTCTGTGAAGCGCACAGTCCAGGAGATTTACGACAACGACAAGCAGATGAAGGAAATTTTAGACACCATTCAGTCGAAGGTAATGCATTCATCATCTTTCAAGGAAATGAACAATTCTTTTACACCGCACACTTATTTGCTCTTGATTAATATTCAACTATTCATTTGTTAGTTGGTTTCTAAAAATAGCAATGACTCAAATTTATAATATAGGTAATGCTCATAATTGCCATGATAATTTATTGATTGCTTAGACTTGCATCCATTCAAAAAAGCATTTGCAGTAGGAGTGCGAAAAATTCAAATTCATACTTCGTTGTTTTGGTTTTGGCTTATCTAAACGGCAGACCCGCACTATCAACTACTTTCTAAATATGGTTTTAGAAACATGAAGTACTTTATTATTTTTGTAACTGCTTTTAAATAACCATATTCAGTGTTTTGAAATGATTACCGGGACACACAAAACGCTTGTTTGTGTTATGTATTTTTTATTTTTCTGCATTTTTATTATTTCTGATCTGTTAACAGCATACACTAATGTGTACAATTTTTTGTTTTTGGCGCAAAAATATAATTTTTAAGTTTCTGTAGGTTACGATTTATCAGCATTTGTGCATCGATATGGAGAAAAACCATTTTTTTAAATTTAAACTATGATGCAATGCATGAAAAGAAGCGGTTTTAATTTAAGATAAGTGTAATCAAATACTTTTTAATTGGCCGTGTACTGCTTCCGGAAAAAACGCAGTTTATGTAGTTAACTGCTTCTGAAAAATTAGAAGATTCTAAAAATTGCAAAAAAATGTTCTTGAAACATTTACTGAGGCAATGGAAATTGTGATTTGCCATTATTATGAATATTGTTGCAGATTAAACGCAACCGTGGTGCTAATTTGTATAAGAGTGAATGAAAATAACTTCTAAAATCCTTTTTTTTTTAACTACAGTCGCTGGTTTGCAGATGCAGTGTATGTACTTAAGTACTGTGGTAAAAAGTCAAAGTAATTTTAAAATTGCTCATTTTGCTTCCGAGAAATGAGCAAACATGGGACGGAAAACATGAAATTTTGGCATAATCGGTACTTTTAAAACTACTCCAATAACTTTAAAACTCCACTATTTTTGGTATTATGCTTGAATACTTGTAACAAAAACGGTAAACTTACAAAATACACATGCAAGACATGTACAGACTAATGTCTGGAACTGTAACCGCTTGATTTTCGGAGACCATCTAAAGCGTGTTTGATTATCTGCAAACCATAAACTTTTCTCTTGGGTTTTTAGAGAACATATGTAATGAAGTTTATATTTTTTTTAAATTGTAACAGTTAGTAACTGAGTTACATTTAAAATGTTTATTTCTAGATGCACTGTTGTGGTGCAGACAATCCAACTGATTGGTCTCGGAACAAACATATCAACTTGGGAATAAACTCGAAACCAACCAGGTATAATATTCCAACTAGTTGCTGTCGCGAGGACATTGCTCCATCTCTATGCACGGCCGTTACGCAAGAAATTAAAATGGGAGAAAATCTGAACTTCGATGTTATCTTTGAAAAGGGATGTTACGTGTTGATCAAAGAGCGTGTCCTCGGCAGCCTAACAATTATTTTCATTGTGTATGGGTCGATTGTTGGAGTACAAATTTTGGGTCTATTAATTGGACTAATTTTGACATTTTCCATGAATCGAACCAATCGCTACAAATCTTAAATGATCGCAGTGTGGCCATCGTTTCAAAAACGCCTTTGTCGCTTCAAACAGCATGTTTCTAAAGAAGTTGACGCGTTTTTGCAAACCATTTTCTTATTTTCAACCCTTATTGTACAAATCATGAACAATTACGTACCTTTACTCTCTATTCAGAATCTACCAAAAGATTTATTAGATGTTAGATCATTATTATTATATAATATAGGTTTTAGGATCTCTGGCATTTTTTTTGGGATTTGCCCTTGCCAAAATTGCATAATGTGTTCAAACCGAGCAAATTGCGCAAATATTCGTCATAATTGTCGAATGATATTGAAAAACAATTTCATTATTTAAAGATTTATTGTTGTTTATGTTGTTATCGAAGTAGATGTTTGCTATTAATAGAGTAATAGTCCCAATTGAAATACATACCTTCAAAGATGATTTATAGCTTGTAAATTACGAAAAACAGTAAAAAGTATGATCAGAATCCATATAATTATGTTTTTGGTAGTGATTGCAAAAAAGAACTTCCGAAGACTTCAGAAAGTAATATCCAATTTTCCAAATTCGTTTATACTTTTAACTTTTCATTTTCATATTAAGGTGGTCAGCAGATTTCTTTTCAAATTAATCATTTGGTTTAGACCTTTGATAGCCTATGATATCGGAACAATAATACTATGCCGATATCAAAGGCACAATAATACTGCAATGAACCAATCCAGCCAATCAATGTCGAGTTTCGAAAATAGACATTCGGTTAAGGAAAAATAATTTGTCATAATCAAACCACCTTTGTATAGCGCTAATTGCAATAATTGCCTATTCCGTTCAGTTTTTACATCTAATATTTTCAATTGTTGACCAGTTCAATCTTAAATCACCGAAAATGTTTAGCTCAATGTCATTCAACGCACATCACGCGATCTATTAATACTCTTACTATGTGCCATATTATTTATTCTGCATAACAAATTCGTATTAATGATATTTGTGTATGTATAGACTGACAACCTGAGCCAAATAGGTGCTTACAGAGTGATTAAATTTTTGAAATTTACCTTATCCATTAATGGAAATGCTACTAATTAAAAATCATCATCACTACTTTCACATCAGTTTTGACTGACTTTACAAGACTAATTAATTTCGTTGCTTGTGGATGGTTTTGGAGAAAATGAGTGTCCTAAATGACAGTATTTACATTTTAAAATTAGAAGCAATAAGAAGGATAAAATAAACGAGAAAGTATGCTTCGAGGCACCATTAATTGTGGAAAAATCTATCTTTTTTATGACTTGTCTTAATCTCGTTTATTTATTTCAGTGATCTTTTCATCTCATATATTTTGTATAATAAGTTTTATGTTGTAGCGTTACCTTTGCAGATTAAAGGCAACTTAACATATACATATATATATATATGTAACTATAATTTAATAATTCTTCTTGAATGACATTCTGAACGCACGTTAGCGTTTTTAGCTTAATAAGCACAGAGCCAACAACCCAAATGGTTATATACCCCTGAAATAGAAGATCTTCGTACTTAGTGTAAGCCAAAAATCCTAAATTAGACTTAAGAACAAAGGTTAAAACAGCGCAAATGATCCTGCAATGATGTGTTCTCTATTTCCATTGCGGCTAAGACTTGAAACTATGTGTTAGATTGGCTTATGTAGTTGTTGCTTCCAAATTATCAGCAAGAAGCCGAAAATTTAAAAAGATCTGTTACTACAAGGAATCAAATACATTTGCTAATTTGTAAAGTACTTAGTATCTTGTAGGTGTTAACTCTCGCAGAAAGAAGTGATTTTTCGGCTTCTTAATGCGAAATATATTTTTAAAATTACATGTCTTAGAATAGTTGCCATTAGTTACTTCTGATAAGAAACATGGATGTGTATTGAATACCTTAAGAATCTCGTGGAATAAAATAATTCTAATAAACTGCTTAATATAAAAACGTCTTTAATTACTATTTTAGCGTCCATGTTTCGCTCTCTAATAAAACCAGATCAAATTGCTTTAACTTGTGGTTTACCTAATAGTTATAAGTATTTATCGAATATAATTTGTTTAATTTCTATTGTGTATGTAGAGAAGACCATTTCATACTTCATATATTTTGTAAATTGTCATTTTGGAATTATAAAAGTGTTACCAAATATGTACCCTATATATCGTCACATACGAAATGGTTGTGATACAAAAATTATGACCGGATGCTAATCAAAAAACTGAAACTGGGATTGTAGAAAGAGTCGCTATTTTTCGATATAGATTGTTAAAGAGAACTGTATTTTTAAATCGCAAATTAATCGGAACTATTTAAAAGCTCATAACCAAAATATAATATTTACTTATACTGCATATTTATCTGCCTTGATAATATATTTTAATTGGAATGTTGCATTTAATATTTTTATTTGTTCAATACTATATCACGTTTACAATAAATTACTGGTATAACCTTTGGTTGTTTTTTTTCTCACATCGTAACAGGAAATAATTCCCGATATGAGGACAATTTTTAAAATTCTGCAAGAACTATTTTGCGCCAACAGATTTGGAAAACATACAATTCAAACATATTATTATATTTCAAAAGCCTTTCAACTATTACGTCGTTGATATTTTCTGAGCACGCATCAGATGCAAACATTGCGTTATTCATTGAGTTTTTATTCTTTTTAATTTATCGTATTCTCTTACTGAGTATTTTTTCTTCTAGGGTTTTCTTACTTTCTCTTCTCTCCTATCTTTAGTTTCCTTAGTTTTATTTTCATTATACTATTTTCACGTTTTAGTAACTCGATAATCCATTTGTTTATACATTGTAATATTGCTGCGTGTGTAATGCGACGCTTTATTGTATCTGTTTTTATACGCGTTTGGGTTATCAAGTTTAAAAATTAGGTTTTCTAATGCTACTAAATAATTAACTATACAGAACGGAGAATTACGTTTTTTAGTTTTGCGAATTTTATCAAAAAAAACAGACAAATTATCAAGAAAAGGTTTGTCAAAACAGTGTATAAAGAAATGCAATTAATTTAAGGAAGGAAACTGATTGATAAAAAGTGATAAAATTGTGAATAAGCGATTCTAATTTTAATAAATGTAAAATGTCACCTGAAGCATGTTGAGTAAAAGTTATCAAGTGAATGAGAATGGAAGTCCCGTGCATTAATTTACTATGTTTAAACGGATGAAAAACGATTTCAGCATTGAATTACCCGAGGAAGGAAACTATATTTCATTCAAAATGAATCAACTAATTTTAAAGTATAAGAAAATTACAAATTACACGGTGATTCAGTTAGAAAATTGTATTTATTTCCTTAATACTTGTTTATTTCACCAGGTATTATTTATTAAGACTATGTATCCATAATTTGTTCCCATCCAAAGGCAATGACCGTAAAAAACCCGCAGGTTTTTTTTTAGCAAAACCGAAAATAACTATAAGAATATCAGAGGAAAATAGGTGAAATTCTAACTAAACTTTCTAAAATTTGAAAGAAATTGTAATAAGTTTTTAAAACATAATAGGTGTATTTAATAAATATTGTGTCCCAAGATAGATGTAGCAAATGATGAGATGATTAAAATATATTTAAATGCGACAAATTACAATTTTTTTATTAAAGAATCGTGATATTTACTGCATCCATTAAAATTTAAAAAATAGTTTTTTTCTGAAAATTACTTTATTCAGAGTTATTTACATACATTTTCTCATGAAACATCCTGTATAGAATGTGATAACTTATCTGAAAATTACTTTATTCAGAGTTATTTACATATATTTTCTCATGAACCATCCTGTATAGAAACTTATCTGACCTTTTGCTACTTATTGAGACACATTGCACACCATTCATGGTCTTCGTTATTTCTGTTTTTTTTATTCCATTATTAATTAAATATTTATATTTTCCGTTAATGGGCAACATTCGATCAATTTTACATGTTTTCCAAACATACTCGTCTAGCACTGCAGTGGAATCAATATCCAAGACCCACTTGTGGCTTTCTTGCGCACGCCAGCTGAGATTTCCATTGTGCCATGGAAACATTTTTTATCCATAGCTGGGTCAGTAATGTGACGGAAAAGTGTCACAGCCATGTCAACCTGACTGGATCGAATCGGACTAGAATTACCGAAAATAACATGACGAAAATTTCCAGTTTTACCTTGGGTGAATTGGTATAATGATAGTAGACGCGTATTTAGAAGAACAGACGCGTTTGAGAGTTAAAAAGAAAGAAAATGGCTTAGAGAAACCTACTGAGGATGACGATTTGCAAATAAATGATGATCCAAGAAGATTTCCTGGAGAGACTAGGAAAGATGCTGACTCTAGGACAGGCAAAGCTAAAGTTCTACTGTGCATTAATGATGTTCCCAATCACTTGAAATTTAACCCGCATATTTTGTCTGGGTATCGTCCATTGCAGTCTCCTTTGGGCTGCATTGGGAGCGTTTTCCAATGGCACAATGAAACCATCAACATAGTGACCCATGGTAAGCTGCAAAAAATTAAAATATTTGGTATTTTACCAGCTATCATTGTTTTAGCTATTCCAATATTCTACATCCTTTTCACTGTTCCTGACGTGCTTCCTTGGCATTCGCAAGAACTTACTTTCTTAGCTTGGTGCCATATAGCAGGAATTCTCTGCCCCTGGTTGGGCAGCTTTGTTTACCACATGTTTATGAACTTACATTATGGTCCCATGGCTTATTATATTCTCCTTCAGGTTGATATGTTGGGGATTTGGACCAGTCAGAGTATAGGTAACGCTACTAATGACATTCGGTGTGCGTTTGATAAAATTCTAATGGACTTTCAGGTGCTCTTCCATTAGTTTTTGCTTCCACAAAATGCGTTCCACATCTAATACGATGGTCAATAATAATGTTCTATTGTTTGTTGAGTGTTTGGGGCTTATACAAGGTAATTATTAGATTTCCTTCTATATGGACTTGAATGAAAAGTTCGAGTTATTTTGGGTTTTGAAGTAAATTATACTATACAGGGTTATTCACGCTATACGGCACGGACGTTTGCGGCTAGCCCGTTTGTTTTTTGCAAAGTATTATTTGATTAATCGACAGACGCCTATCGGGTGCACATTTTAAGAATATTTTTGTAATGTACAGAGTGTCCCAAAAGCCCTAAAAGTATCAAAGTTGTGTTTTTCTAAATGAAATACCTTATATATTATTGCATTTTTGGATTCTATGAGCAAATTAAGTGTTTGTTTTAATAAGATTTATAATGTCTAAATCTAAAGGTTTTTTAAATAATT